AAACCTAAAATACAATAAAATAAATAAATGGGGAAAAAAAAAAAATCTCCCCTTTATCTAAAAATCTCATCCAAAAATCTTAGATTTACTTATAATTGCTATGTTAATAATTTCCTTGTAAATTTATATATTTAACTCTTGTTTCTATTCTGAGCCCAGTGCCAAATTTTCAAATGCTACATCATTAACTTCAGATTCACACCTTTTTTCCTCCAACCTTTACTTTTACAGTGTGCCTTCACACTACTCCCACTCACCTCACTATCTACACTTACCCAGTAACCCTTAAGCAAAATATCAGAGTTCTGATTCTATTCCTCTTTTTTCTTGCCCCCTATAGCCAATGAATTATCTAGACTTGTCAACTCTATCGTAATACTACTTTTCCCATCTTGTAGAAGTCCATGGAGTACCTAAGAACAGGAAATAGAAGGAATACAGTTGTGTAAATTAATTTGCAATTCCTCCATGTTCAGTGATATGCTTCTCATAGTTTTTCTAAGCACAGATAGAAATGAATACTTATGACCTTTTCCTCTGCACACCAAAGGCCAGATGTTTCTTTTTTAATAATATAAAGAACAATTTTATACTGCTATTTGACTTATAACTTAAATTCAAATATTTCATTTATTTTCTGAAGGTGATCATTAAAGAATATTCAAATAGGAAAATATATCCTTTAATCCCATTCTTTAAAATTTCCTGAGACATTTTTTGTTGGCATCTGGAGGCAGTTTCCCCCTTGATTATATCAAATTCTAAAGCCCCTTATTTTCTGAATTCCTTCTAAAGTTAATATAATAGGTAGCATTACAATTAATTGCAGTAAGCTTGCAGATTAAAAAATAACCATGCATGAATCTGGATCCCTTATTTTGAATTCAATTTAGAATCCAAATAAAGTTTAGAGATTTCACTATCCATTTTAGATTGAATTATCTAACCATGTACTTTAGATGACATAAATGTTACCAAAAATAAAAAACTTGCTTGAAAGAGCTGTAAAAAGTTAACACAATTGCAAATTTTCCTAGGTATTTTGTTTTGTTGTTCTATTAGAGCATTTTGTAGCTAAAATTCTTAGTGATGATTATACAACTTCATTTACATTCACCTCAGAATTCTATTTTAGTATCAAAGTTCTCCCACACTGAAAGCTTCTGGAATGTATTCTTTTAAGGAGTCACCATTGATCCTATCCTACAATTTACTTAGTGCTACAAAGTAGAAATTATATTTAATTGAGCTGAATGAGAGAAGCACACAACAAAGTGCTCTGCTTTATTCAATTCCCAGATATTTCTTATGTGGGATGACTAATCAAATATAATTGTTGGTGGATGACACATATTAATTTGATACATAGTTTTAATATAAAACACATATTTTATCTGCATGCTAATTAGGTACATTTTCAAGCACCTAACCCATTGTTTTCAACTAATGGCAAAGATGTCAGATGGAAGAAGAGTTCACACATATTAAGAACTATGAAGTGATATTAAATAAATAGGATGAACATTTCTCCCAGTCAGGTATAATTATTCTGCATTTTCTTGTTTATGATCCCGTGAACAAAATTCATTTTTAATAAAAACTTATTGTTTTATTTCATTACTTCCATGGTTCCAGCTGACATGCAGTATGCTGGGCTCTAAGCTATTTGCTAGGAATGCAAATATTTTACAGTCTATTGGCATTGTCAATATTTATAGTTTATGTATAAAGTCTTCCTGGACCTACACTAGGGTAGAGGAATTCTATTATGTTACATGCAATTACTTCATTCTCAATTCAGCATCTGATAGTTCTGATAAATCTTCCATTTATTTCCACGAGATTTATATATTTACTGTATCTGTTGCCACCACAGTCACTGATCCTTCTTGTTTTCGTCTCTGCATAAGAATGTTTTTTTTTCAGCCCTCTGGATACAAGGTTAAGTTGGTGTTATTAGATACCTTATCTAATCACAAGGCCTGCTAAGAGATACTGCTACCTAGATGGTAGATCAAAGGACAACCTCCCACAATTATCTGGTGCAAATTTCTGTAAAATATACCTGTTTCAAGTAGCTTTGGCTGGCCAAGATAATGCTGCAACCTTTATGAGTGAATTGCTTAGAGCCAAAGTAGTAATCCCATAGCAGTGTTATGTGGACATGCTAATGTATGTTAGGAAACAATCTACCTCGCTAGAATCCATGGGACTCACCACCATTACCTGATCTGGAACTCAGAAATACAACCTACATATTTATTGAAAAATTGTTTTCACTGAACATTTTCCCTGCTTTGGGTTGATACATGAACTCTGAGCTTTAAGTTGTCTATTTGTTTTTGCACTTAGGTTGTACCATCTAGACTAGATAAATCTAAAAGAGCTCTTTTGCTTTCCAATGCTCTTACTATTTTCTAGAATGCAATGTATTTTTAAAGTTGATCACTTTTATTGCCCTAATGAATGTACAATTAGTTATTTACATAGACAATACTCAGATTTCAAATGCCTTTTACTTACATATATATAAATCCCATATTTCTGTGATTTAAAAATTAGGTCAAAGTTTTTATGTAGACACTTCAGATTTTTTTTTATTTTATTAACCATTTAATTCTGACCCAGTTGGCATACTTTTTTTCTTAGTCAAAAGCAGAAAGATTTGCCTATAGCAATTTCCATGTCTCTTATCTTGCTACATTACATATGGAGAGAAATGATTAAGGTAGATTTTTTAAGGTTTAATTTCATAACTTTCCAACGAAAAGCATTATGACTCTTTTCAGGTTTTCTTCACATTTCTCAGAAATTCATATCTGTCAAATTCAACATTTGATCTTTAATTTCTTGAGGCTATTTAATACTGACATATGTGCTAACTGACTATCTTTAATTCTTCAGGGTTTGGTTTCATCTATTCCATCAAGTATTTTAAGAAGTTTAAAATTCTCCCAGGGTCGTTTTTCTAAAGGGACTTACAGAAAGACAATACTAGTAGGATTTTATTATATACCATCTGAAAGAAAAATTAATTTTGCCTCAGGTCTCAAATGTAAATGAGAGCTCTATCATATAATGAAAGTTTGTCTGAATAACCTAATTGAATCAAGATATAAGAAATATTCAGATATTTCATGCCAAAGATTTGCTTTTTTCTAAATAATTAAAATTTAACATTTAAAATTGCTCCAATTTACTAGTCACACAATTTTTCACTTCTTTATTGTACATCCATGGTACATTCCTTATCATATCTTTATGCGAATGATATAATGACACCATTTTCTCTCAGAATATGACAGTTGAGCAAATAGACTGAAATGAAGAATGGAAAAGAGTGACTTGGAAATTATATTGCTTTGTTGTCACTCATGTTTTTTTTTTTTTGGCACAATAATTCTGCCAAATAACCTAATTTACTAAATGACCTACTCTTTTTACTTAATAATTAGATTCTATTCTAGTATAAATATAAAAACCTCCCTTGGAGTTATGGCTAGAAGAATACCTAGACAATGAATGAGATATCTTTTCTTCCCATCATTTTTATGCACAAATACTCAACAATTGTCCAACATAAAAATATGTAGTTTCTGGCATCTGATATCAAACTTTGCACACTAAATGCAGTGAGATTTTTTTTTTTTTCTGAGCATGCTCACTATATATTATCTGGGACACATGTTTGATATTATCTGGAAAAATAAAAACAATGAGTCAATGACTTAAGATCTAACTTGACACTGAAAAGGAGTTTGGCTCTGCAAACTGTTTCTGAGAAGAATATTTTACTCTGAGCATAGCCGCTAAGGTTCCATTAATAATGTAAATAAACGAGAGGAAAGAGGGAAGCCTTGATGATTGCAATAGTAAAAAATTAAACAGCCCTGAGATTGTCAATTAGAGTTGACTTTAGTAAGTGGCTGGGAATGCAGACATTTGATCCAGCATACACTATTACCAGAATTCACACTGACCAATCAGTATCCTCTCCTAAAATGTATTTGCACTCTGAGGAATTGCAATTTCCCAATGGCACCTTTGAAACCTCATAACTTTCTGGAAAGTGTTCTTTGAATAAATGCCACGTGGATTTTAGAATAAACTTTAAGCAATTTCATTAGACAAAAATATACCTTTTTCCTTCTTCAGCTAATACATAGTTTTAAATCATTTAGAGGAGTTGTTCTGATCCTAGACTACACATTCGTTTACATACTGAGTTGCAGGTCCCCATATAAACGTGGCTAAATTTCCTGGACATCAATTTTATTTAATGATAATAGTACATTAGTATGAATCTGCAGAGCAATGTTCACATGTGATTGGAAATCACATTTGTCTGCTAAAACGATGAAGAAAAATAAATAAATTATACTTTAGATTATTTCTAATTGTTCTTATGTTAGGATATTAGTCATAAGTCATAGAAGAAAAGTTTCCAAAATGAAGATGTAGACAATCTTTGCAATCTTTGCTGACTCAGGAACAGCAGGGGGCATCAGCTCCACTTCCACCAGCGTGCATGGTTACATCCTGCAGTTGGCTCAGGAGTACTTGTGGAGACTGCAAGAACTCTTTTGATGAATTCTCCAAAATCACCCAGAAAGTCTTTGTTTCACACAAAGAGTTGTTTGAATATGACTTACAGCAGAGGGAAGCAGCCACTAAATCATCCCCAACCTCCATATTCACTGCCAGCAGTACCGTGCCTTATCTGTCCTGTGCTGTGGCCACACATCCTCCACCAAGTGCTACGGCTGCGCCTTGGCTGTTACAGAACATTGTATCACACTACTTCGGGCCCTGGCCACCAACCCAGCCTTGAGGCACATCCTTGTCTCCCAGGACCTTATCTAGGAGCTCTTTGATTATAATCTTCACCCAGGGGCTGAGGCCATGTAGGAGGAGGTCTGCCAGCGCACGTGCCTCCTAACTGGAGACAACCCGGAAGCCACCCAGCAGATGAATGACGTGATTATTGGCAAGGTCTCCACAGCCCTAAAGAGCCACTGGGCCAACCCTAATCTGACAAGTAGCCTGCAGTATGAAATGTTGCTGCTGATGGATTCTATCTCCAAGGAGGACAGCTGCTGGGAGCTTCGGTTAGGCTGTGTGCTCAGCCTTTTCCTCATGGCTGTGAACATTAAGACTCCCATGGTGGTTGAGAACGTTACCCTCATGCGCATGCGGATCTTGCAGAAGCTGATTAAACCACCTGCTCCCACTAGCAAGAAGAACAAGGATGTCCTCATCGAGGCCCTCACCACAGTGAAACCATATTGCAATGAGATCCATAGCCAGGCTCAACTGTGGCTCAAGAGAGAACCCAAGGCATCTTATGATGCCTGGAAGAAGTGTCTTCCTATCAGAGGGATAGATGGCAATGGGAAAGCCCCCAGCAAATCAGAGCTCTATTTGACTGAGAAGTATGTGTGGAGGTGGAAACAGTTCCTGAGTCATCAGCGGAAAAGGATCTCCCCCTTGGATCTCAAACTGGGGCATAACAACTGGCTGCGCCAAGTGCTTTTCACTCTAGCAATGCAGACTGCACGCCAGGCAGCCTGTACCACTGTGGAAGCTCAAGTCACCATTCCCAGCCGCAAACAGCAGGTCCTGGATCTGCTTACCAGTTACCTGGACAAGCTGAGCATAGCTGGGGAGTGTGTGGCTGAGTACCTGGCTCTCTACCAGAAGTTAATCACTTCCGCGCACTGGAAAGACTACTTGGCAGCTTGGGAAGTCATACGCTATGTGGGCAACCTCATCACTAAGGAAATAGCCCGTCTGCTGGCCCTGGAGGAGGCTACCCAGAGCACTGATCTGCAGAGGGTTATGCCCTTAAAAGTCTCACAGGCCTTCTCTCCTCCTCTGTTGAGGTGGAATCAATCAAAACACACTTTAACAGTCGCTTGGTGGGTACTGTGCTGAATGGATACCTGTGCTTGCAAAAGCCGGTGGTGGAGAGGACCAAGCTGATTGATGAGATGCAGGACATGCTGCTGGAGATGCTGGAGGACATAAGCACAGGTACAGAGTCAGAAACCAAGGCCTTCATGACTGTGTGCATTGAGACAGCCAAGAGCTACAACCTGGATGACTACTGAACCCCGGTGTTCATCTTCGAGAGGCTCTGTAGCATCATTTATCCTGAGGAGAATGAAGTTACTGAGTTCTTTGTGACCCTGGAGAAGGATCCCCTGTAAGAAGACTTCTTACAGGGCAGGGTGCCTGGGAACCCGTATAGCAGCAATGAGCCAGGCATCGGGCCACTGATGAGGGATATAAAGAGCAAGATTTGCCAGGACTGTGATTTAGTGGCCCTCCTGGAAGATGACAGTGTCATGGAGCTTCTAGTGAGCAATAAAATCATTAGTTTGGACCTTCCTGTGGCTGAAATTTACAAGACAGTGTGGTGTACCACAAATGAGGGAGAGCCCATAAGGACTGCTTATCGTATGCGGGGGCTGCTGGGCAATGCCACAGTGGAATTCATCGAGTCCCTGGACTCTACCACAGATGAAGAAGAAGATGAAGAAGTGTACAAAATGGCTGGTGTGATGGCTCAGTGTGGCGGCCTGGAATGCATGCTTAACAGACTCGCCGGGATCAGAGATTTCAAGCAGGGATGCCACCTTCTAACGGTGCTACTGAAATAGTTCAGTTACTGTGTGAAGGTGAAAGTCAACCAGCAGCAACTGGTCAAACTGGAAATGAACACCTTGAATGTCATGCTGGGGACTCTAAACTTGGCCCTTGAACAAGAAAGCAAGGACAGTGGAAGCGCAGCTGTGGCTGAGCAGGTGCTGAAGCATCATGGAGATCATTCTCAATGAGTCCAACACTGAGCCCCTGAGCGAGGACAAGGGCAACCTCCTCCTGACAGGTGACAAGGATCAACTTGTGATGCTCTTGGACCAGATCAACAGCACCTTCGTCCGCTCCAACCCCAGTGTGCTCCAGGGCCCTACCTCATATCATCCAGTACCTTTCCTTTGGAGAGGTGGAGAAAATGCAGATCTTGGTGGAGCGATTCAAACCATACTGCATGAAGATCACAGTGGCCATGATAAAGTCTTCCTGGACTGCCTCTGTAAAATAGCTGCTGGCATCAAGAACAACAGCAATGGGCACCAGCTGAAGAATCTGATTCTCCAGAAGGGGATCACCCAGAATGCACCTGACTACATGAAAAAGCACATCCCTAGTGCCAAGAACTTGGATGTTGACATCTAGAAAATGTTTTTGTCTCGCCCAGCCTTGACGTTTATCCTGAGGCTGCTTCAGGGCCTAGCCATCGAGCACCCTGCCATCCAGGTTCTGATTGGAACTGACTTCATCCCAAACCTGCATAAGCTGGAGCAGGTATCCAGTGATTAGGGCATTGGGACCATGGCAGAGAACCTGCTGGAAGCCCTGCAGGAACACCCTGATGTAAACAACAAGATTGCCACAGCCCACAGGGAGACCCAGGCAGAGAAGAAGAGTATGGCCATGACATGAGGCAGAAGGCTCTGGGCACCCTGGGCATGACGGCAAATGAAAAGGGCCAGGTCGTAACCAAGACGGCACTCCTGAAGCAGATGGAAGAACTGATCGAGGAACCCAGCCTCGCATACTGCACCTGCAGGGAGGGATACAAGTTCCATCCCACGAAGGTCCTGGGCATTTATACCTTCACGAAGCGGGCGGTCTTGGAGGAGATGGAGAATAAGCCTGGAAAGTGCAGGGGTACAGCACCGTGTCCCACTTCAACATCGTGCACTACGACTGCCACCGGGTTGCCTTCAGGTTGGCCCTAGGCCGGGAAGAACGGGAAAGTGCCGCCCTTCAGAATGCCAACACCAAGGGCAATGCGCTGCATCCAGTCTGGGGGCCTCACGTCCCTGAATCAGCTTTTGCCACTTGCTTGGCAGGACACAACACTTACCTCCAGGAATGTACAGGCCAGCGCGAGCCCACATACCAGCTCAACATCCATGACATCAAACTGCTCTTCCTGCGGTTCGCCGTGGAGCAGGCGCAGACACCTGCGGGGCGGCCGGGAGAGCAACATGCACCTGATCCCCTACGTCATTCACACTGTGCTTAGCGTCCCGAACACAACCCGAGCAACTCCCGAGAAGAGAAGAAGCTCGAAGGCTTTCTGGAGCAGCCCAAGAAGTGGGTGGAGAGTGCCTTGGAAGTGGGCGGGCCCCACTATTTCCCAGTCCTGGCCCTTCACATTCTGCCCCCCTAGCAGCTGAGAGCCACGCTGGTGGAAATCTTGCGCAGGCTGCCGGTGACCTCGCAGGCCTGGGCAGTGGCTCCAGGTGGAGCCACCAGGCTGACGGATAAGGCAGTGAAGGACTACTCTGCCTACGGCTCTTCCCTTCTCTTTTGGGCCCTCGTCGATCTCATTCACAACATGTTTAAGAAGAAACCTACCAGTAACACGGAGGGAGGCTGGTCCTGCTCTCTCGCTGGGGGCATCTGCCACAACGACATGCCCAGCTACGAAGCTGCCAACAAAGCCCTGAAAACCTCCCAGGAGGAGTTCCTGCCGGTGGAAACCTCAGTTCCTCGACGTGGCTGGTCTTTGATCAGAAGTCACCGATCCCGAGAGCCTCCTGAAGGGCCCGTTGAACTCGGTCCGCTGACCACCACGCAGGAGCTACAGTGGCGAAGAGGGAAGCGGGCCTGCCTTCCACCCTCTGTTCTCCCTCCTCGTGCGCCGAGATCCCCCCGCGGGATGCTGCATTGTGACCCCGCCCTCCCCTCGCTCATTTTTCCTTGGGGTGGCTTGGGGTTTTCAGGGTTCCCGTTATATCTCGTGTGTGTGGTGCACCAGCTATGAAGCCGTCTGTAACCGAAGCCTGTACATAACTAGGAGCTATGAGTTGGCCCGGCCAAGTTCATACTTGAGTGTGCACATCTTGAGGAATAAACAAATGACTTAATATGCCAAGCCTTGCTGTGCAGCGGATCCCACTGAAAATGAAGAAGATCGCAAGAAGGCTGTATCCAACATCAATACACTTTTGGACGAAGCTGATCGAGCGTATCATCAGCTAATGGGACACCGGCCACAGATGGAGAGCCTGCTCTGCAAAGTGAATCAGGCAGCCCCAGAAAAGCCACAGGATGACTCAGGAACATGTAGGCAATCTGCAAATCAATTTATAGATTAAATCTGTAGATATGCTTTCTTCTAAGCACTAAACTGTAGCATGAATACAGTGACACGTGGATATTACACTGACATTGGTGTTATTACTGCTGTATATGCATATGAACACAGGTGATCTTAGACACAAATACATTAGTGCACACATATATACACAAATTATTTCTATCAATTCAGTCAAGTAATTTCTCCTAAATATTATGTTTATTGTACCAGTGGAGTCCCATCTGCTTGGTACCAGAACATATTGTTCAAATAAACTCATACTTTTATTAGTTTCCAAAAAGAAAAAGGAAAAATTAAATGTGAATGAAAATATGAAGGTTATTAGAAATTTGTTTGTTTTCTACTTTCCAAATATATAGTCTTTTCGATAGATTAAAAATGATGTCACAAAAACGTGATTTGAAATCATGATTCTTTTTCATGATTTCCAGTGAACTAACTTATTCTTCATAAGAAAAAGATAAACTTTGACCTATTCAATTCAGAATAAAAGGAATTAATGGACAATTGAAACCTGATAATTCAAACCCATTATTTCATTGTTACTTCCTGACTACATACAAATAAAGATCATGTTGTTTTATGACTTTAAATTGAAAAAAATTTAAAGGTCTAACAATAACAAATGTCAGAAAGTATTTGAATCCATATGATTTTTTTTTCATTTCCGGATGAGGCATACATGCGTAACCATGTATGTGCAGGTTCAGTATATATGTTAAGGTTCATCATGACTGTTTTTAAAAGATTAATGCTATTTGAAAACTATTTGCTTTGCTGTAGGCTCCACATTTTTCAAAAGAAATATGACTACTTACGGTTTTTCAAAAAACAGTTTTCAAATGCCTTCTTTTCCTCCTAAAATTGTAAATGAAAGAAATAAATAGTGTTGAGATTTTGCTATGCTTAAAACAAAAAAAAAATATCGAAATATCAAATTGTTTCATTTTCACACCTGCGTGATGACTGAAATTTCACAACAGAGAAGTTTCTCATGTTTCTTTATCTTCCAGGCTTCAAGAAGAATTTATCTGGGCATCATCAGACTTTCATCTCATTAGTTGCTCTATTTTACATATCACAGAATAATAGTGTACTCTTAACCAATAGCTAAAGTTGAAGGAGAATTGAAGCAATTTTGGGTCAGTGGCCAGCATCAATCCCGGCCTGGGATACTGGCATTCTGTCCCAATTACAGCTCTGTCTGCCAATCTTAGGTTCTCCGGCATCATTTTAATATGACTTGGATGTGACAGATGTACATGCTTTTGTGCCCAGACTTTGTCTTGGAAAGGAGGACATTGTCTTTTGGAGAGCAAAGAAAGAATAATGGTTGCTAACCGTAATTAAAAGTATAAGAGCAGAATTGAAATATTGTAGCCAACTTTTAAAAATAGACATATGTTTTTCCAACCATTTGGCAATAGTTTATAGTCTCTATCTCTGGAAATGATCCACTAGGGAGAACATCATGGATAGGGGGACGTGGGGCCACCTGTCTATCTATGTTGTCATTGGCAGGAAGTAAAATTGTTCTCAAGGGGTTTGCATTAGCATCTATGGTTCTCAGGACCAGAAACTAGTGGATCAGCAGAAAAGTAAGTAAGCAGACATCTCACATGGACAGAGTCCATTAGTATTTTATTAAAACAAAATTCACTGGGTCAGAACTCCTTAGCAAAACAAAAATGAACTTGCTCTCTTTGTAGATAAACTGCACATCTTTTTTATTTTTAATTCAATATCTACCTTAAGGTAATTAGATTAATATTTAAATATTTAAATAGATCAATTAAGTTAGTGAAAGAGAATTCAATATTTGAGAGAAATAGAGTACAATTTCAAAGTATATGCAGTACTTCAAACTATAATTTTAAAATGCCAAGTATCTGCCTTAATAATACATAGCATCACATATTCCAAAGCAATTTATATCTTGTGATACTTTGCCTAAAGCTGAAAGCCAAGAGACTTGGTTTTGAAGAAAACAACTTTCCTCTCCCATACACTCTGCAAGTTCAAGAGAGGAAGGATTAACGCATTTGGGATTTCATGGTGTGTTCTATTTTGTACATTTTCTGTGACCACCTGGTGGCCCTGATATGAGCAGCAGTTGCTGAGTACATAGGTGGTGCTACCTGTCGTCATACCCTTCCTGGCTCCCACAGCCATCATCCAATATAGCCTTGGAATATAGAAAAGGAAAAGAAATGAATTATTTTACATTATCCCTTCTTGTTTGGCCCAGTTTGTTTTCTCCTCAGTTTGAACATTTATTTCAATCAAGATCTTTTGAATTGAATTTAACAAATATTTATTCAATTATTGCTCTCTGTCTATGGAAGGAAAGTAAGTTATTTACTGGAGCATGAGTCTACGCCAGCTGGCATTTTAAAGATAATTTTGGTTTAAAATTTCCATTCCATTCTCACAGAACAACAAAAAATATCTTATACAAGCAATTGACAGTTATTTTTTTTAAGGATATTTATTGAGGGCAAGGAATGTAGAATACACTCCTAATCTCTTGTTTCAATTTGTTTCAACATAACATAAAGACAGTGTTATAAATCTTATTTTATTTGAAATAACCCAGAGTGTTCATTCAATAATGTACAGTTGCAAACTTGGTATCTCCTGGATACTTTCTCTATCAACATCTCAAACACATAAATTGTGTTTAAGGTATAGTTCATTATATTCTTCTCCCAATCTGTTCCTATTCTGTCTTCCTCATCTTAATCACCATTCATTAACTCATCCAAGCTAGAACTTGGTCAGTTTTATTTTCTTTCTTTTCCTTAATTTTTGCACACCAAAATACCACACTGAATCTTGTTAAATCAACTTTCAAAATGATTGTCAATCCCACATTTTCTTTTCATTCTTACAGGCCCTTGATTGACATCTTCATCATTTCTAGCCTGGACTACTATTGTCAACTTTTTACATGTAGGTTTTTAACATTCTAGCATGCAAAGCAGCTAGAATTATCATTCTAAGTGCAAATTTGATAATGTCACACCCATGGTTAAAATAACTCAATGTTTATTCATTATCTGTAAAATAAAGTGAGATTTCAGGGCTGAAAGGACAATCCCCAACTTTATCCTTTTAATTCTCCATATCCATATTTCCACGTGTCAGCCATACTAAATTATTTGCTATACCTTATAAATTCCATCTGTTTCAGGATCCTTAGATTATGTACTCAGCTATCCCTGATCTCACCTCTCCTCTTCCTTTGCTGTCTGTCACATTTGAATCCTTCAACCAGGTAATAGTAGAGTTATTATATATGTGGGATTCCCTGGTTCAGTTCTGGTTTATGTCCATTGTTTCAGAGTAATCATTAATAGCATGCCCTTTCACTCTCTATGGTGGTGGCCTGGATGGTAAATTAGATGATTACCTTAGCCAAAAGCCACCTTTTCTCTACAACATGCCTTTAATTATCTAGAAGCAAGTAGTTGTTCTTGAAACACTGTAAATATTTCTACATAGTACATGTCACATGGTAGTATAACAAATAATGTGTTTAAATGCCCTGACAAGTTATACATTTTATAATAGTAAAAATAACAGCTAATCTTTAATGTGTGCATACTGTGTTATTTCAAATAACTTAGGACCTTATTGTTAAATTTTATTTATACTTTACAGAAATCCAAAGAGAAAGGCACTCTGATAGTCTTTATTTTCCAGATGAAGAAACTAAGGCAAAACAAGTCTAAGTATCTCAGCCAAAGTCACACACCTGATATGTGGTAAGAAGTACTGCTGCCAGGTAAATTCATGCAATGGTTTCAAAGTTCACACTGCAATGAAGTACTATGTACACTCATCTTTGTGACCCTATTGCCTTAGCCTAAGTATCTAAAAGACGCATAACAAATGGCTTTGTAAGTGAATATTATTTTTAAATAGAGAAATGTCACTTCAAATATGCCAGTGAAATAAATTCGTATGGTCTTAGTTTTCTGGTTGCGTCAAAAATAATACTTTCTTTTTTATTCTGTAAAAGTCCTGTGATACTGATATGGAAATTATATTCTTGACCTCCTGACCCAACAGCAAGAACAATAAGTGACTACCATTGAAATTATTTAAATTATGCAAATCGCTAAATAATTATATAAAATAGTTTTTGGCAGTTACAATGGCTAGCTTTACCATGCTTTCTAACTTTAGAGCTATTTTTGTTCATTTTTATTTTTGCTTATTTGTTTACTTGATTTAATAAAAGCAGTAGATTAGGCATTAGCATGGTATTACATAATCTTGAAATAAAAATAAGTGGATAAAACAATTTTTTTTTCACATTGTATGCCTCCTGGGAAATGAAGGGATTGCTAAGACTTTGACATAATTAATGAAAAGTAAGTGACTATAATTACCTAAGTGGGTATTCGACTTTTTACATGGGAGAAAACCTGCCTCAACAATTGGTGATTTCTTGAACTCTTA